CACCAGAGGGAAAAACAAAAAATATCGTGTATCCACAAACACTCCAATAAATAAATAGAATTGAAACGACACTTTGAAATGTTTTTCCCATGAAAATGAATAATAATAATAAGTTTCAATAAAAATAATAAAATGTAAATTGAATTTTATCATAACGAGTTTGCTTGAATTTCGTTTCTTTTGAGATCGCAGCAATGCGCGACGGGTAAGCTAGTTATTGAATAAAATGTTATTCATCAAATTTTTACATTTTATAGTTTAAACAAGATTATAATATATTGCTTATGAACTGCACAATCTTTTGCATTATGTTTATTAAATACTTTAAGATAATCTTGTTTCCTTAATGCAAAACATAAGATTTTCCACACAATGGTATGTGGAATACCAAGTTCTTTACTGAGATTCTGTGATATAAATTTGTTCAATTGCTTTCTGAACATTTTCTGCAGTGTCTGCAGATAAGGCAGCTTATCTGAACATTTCTAGTCCTTTGCACTTCCTATTTGCTAAAATTTATTCACAAAAACTAATATTTGCCCTTGTGGGACAAAGTTTAAAAAATCTATGCCAAAACTTTTTTGACTCCTTTGTAGGATATTGCACATAAACATGACTTAACACAGCTATTCTTTCTTTTAAACTTAACTTTTTCATTAAACTTTTTAACACCTGTAACATAAATAAAAACTATTAATGCTTTATATTAATATTAATCTAATATATTAATCTAATATATTAATTAATCTATTAATATTAATCTCTAAAATGGTTTGAGACTATAAACATCCTGTATATTATAATATATGGTAGAGTATAAAAATAAACTGAACTTAAAATGTACCATTAATGTAATAAAAAATATAAATATTTACAGAAGACCATCTTTAAAATAAGCATATTCTGCAGCTATAAACTTAAGCCAACATTGTGTAATGTACCTTTTATTAGCCTGGAACTAAATTTAACAAAATGTCATTACATAAAACAACAAAAGACTTATAGTTGGTCAGTTGCCAGGTGTGGACTTTGGAAATGATCAAAAATATTACAAATGGATTAGTTTGCAACAACAGTTAGAGTAACAAAAGTCCAAAATAATTGACTACATTTCAATAAAAACAAAAATTTATTGAAAATATTATGAATGAACAAAGTACAAGATGTTAACAAAAAAGCATGAAAACAATAATAAACCACACAAAGTTATAAAAAAGCAAAACAAAACAAATGTTCACAAAACATTCTTGACAAAGCAGGGAAACGTAAATATAACTTTAAATAAATTTTATACCAAAATCAACAAAGTAACTCAGAACTATATTGCTTACAAACAAAATAAAAACTCTTACAATCTAAACTGCCTAACTGTCACACCCAAAACAAGAAAATGCTTTCATTAATCAAACTCACTCTGAAACTCTCCTTACTTGCAGGAGCTACATCTCACTGTCTTCAGCTTTGCTGGGGTTTTCTGTTTGTTTTGGTGTGACATCACAATTAACTGTGCCACTCTAACTCTTGTGTACAGTACATACAAACTAACACAATTATTTATTCTTTGCAATCTTTTGGGTATAATAGCCTTTTCAATCTTTTCAAAAAAAAAGGTTCTGATTTTAAAAATCAGTTACAAAAGGATGAAGAGACAATTTTTTAACTCCAATCAGAGATCACTTAATCTGAGATGCCATTGATAGATTGGCAATGTCAGTTTTACAGGTGCCAGTCATGTTAATGGTAAGGTTTTTATTATTATTTTTGAATTTTGTATAGGAAGGGTATGGAGTTTGTTCTTTAAAGAAAATAAATACAGTAGAGCGTCGATTTTCCGAAAGTCAATCATCCGAAAGATTTTTAGTCGGCAAATTTAAATTTTTGCCAGTGCTGTGGAGCTTCAATCTTTGGCTATGTCTTGGGCTACTCAAATATTTTACATTTTTGATACTAAATTAACATATGAAGTATAATTTTTTATTGTTTTTATATTTTTCAATATATTTATTTTGTTTGTATAAAATAAAAAAATAATTTTTAACGATACAATAGGCTTTGTTAGGCTTAACATCGACGAAAATTCAACGCAAAGCGACACGCAACGGAGAAAAATTTCAACATCGGATACGTTAAACTATTTTTTCGTTAAATCAGTTATCCGAAATATCAGTTATACGAACAACCAGTCCCCAATTGATTCGGAAAATCGACACTCTACTGTAATAACAATATCTAAGTGAAAACCCTGAAAATAAAGATAATATTCAGACTTGACTCTTACATTTATATCACTTAAGTCTTGTAGCCTATTTTGCATTACTATTTTGCTATTTGCTCCCTGAGTGCAGTTATTAGGGCACTTTTCATATCACTGCAACACTTTTGTTGTAAATGACCTGCAACAACTTTTTTACTGTGAAAGCCCTGGTATATCATGAATTTATTCCTGAGTGTAGACATTCTCTCTGTTAACAAGAAGTCATACTTTGACATTTACATTCATCTCTATAAAATGTAAGATAAAAACAGTTTTATTTCTGCAAGCAAAAAGGTAGGTTTATCATAACAAATACTTGCATAGTGCATTGTACTCTTAGTGAATATCTTGCAAAACACAAGATACCTATATTTCTACAGCCTCCTTACTCACTTGACATTGCACTTGCAGATTTTTATGTCTTCACCAAAATTAAAGCTCTACTGAAGAATCAAATCAACAGAAGATGTAAAAAGTATTACAATAGTTGTACAATATCAGGTAATTCAGAATGGGTTGCAAAATTTTTTAATAACTAATATAAATGTTGGCAGAAGTAGTAACTGCAGAAGCTGCTTATTTTGAAGATGGTCTTTGTAAATTCTTGTACTATTAATGTAATACATTTAGTTTATTTTTTGACTCTATTGAATAATAAGTTTTTTGTAAAAAAAATATTATTATTACAATTTTAATATTTTGATAAACAGTTCTGAAATAAACTACCATCACAAAAACCAACAGAAATGGTAAAAAAAAACTCTCATTAGCAAATGTTTTCTTCCATATTAAATGGACATATTCAGGCTCTTAACATTCTAAATCCAAACTGCATGAATGGAATGCCTCAATTCAAGATATGGAAGCTCATTTATTGGAGGACTGGATGCCTCAACAGTCTTGTAAACCACGTGATTATGATGAGAAGCAAGTGTTCCAAGCTAATGGAAATGAATCTGTCTTTGAAGTTAATGGCTGACAGTAGCTTTATAAATTTCTGACAGCTCTTTTGCCTGTGAAGTGTAGAATTCAGGTACTATTAAAATGTACCTCGATTGCAGGGTCAGTGATATATATGGCCAAGTGGTTTTTTAGCCCTTCATTTATAGAACTTTGATACTTGTTTGATATGTGTTGGTGTGTCATTTTTCACATCCATGTATTCTAATGCTCTGTTATCTTGTTATTGTGATGGTAGTTTATTTAAGTTTTAACCAGTTTTTAGCAGTTATTTGTGTAATTCTGAAGCCATAATAATTGGAAAGAAATTATAAAATTAAAAATAATTCACAATAAGAGCCATTGTCAATGGCATGTTTGTTTGCTAGCTTACTAGCAGTCATGATGACTTTTTCATTTTACCATCTATTACTAAATGTCTTTTAGTAATTGAATTTTAAATAAAATTTTTACAATCAATGAATGACTTGTGCACTTTTATTTATGAACAGTTAAAAACTACTTGCTACTACACATAATGCAATTTCAAACAGGTGCTCCTCTTCAGTGTAAATTTAGAGCCATTTTTCTACATAAATTTAAGTCTTTCTAAGCATATTCTAACATTAAATTAATATAACAGATATAAAAGCATAACTTTTTAGTTTGCATATGTAC